CTATTTTCTTTTATAGTTTCACCAAGACCTTTTGCATTTAGATGCATCTCAGCATCCAGTACCCATGATAGGTAATTTTTCCCGGATATATCAAGTCCCACAAATTCAAGATTTGTAAGGTTTGACATATTGATAATATTGAATAAAATATTATAATTATATAAAGAAAGATTACCTGTATAATAGTTGCACCCGAGGCTTCGTGCTGATAACGTGTTGTGAATAATAATAATAATAATAATAATAATAACAATACTAATATTATGAAGTAGAAGGGGAACAGCAGTACGGATGGGAGAGTTGAGAGAATATGATTTAGCTTTTCATATATTCTGCATATACAAGATCATGGAGGGAAGGGGTATTTATAGTGTTGAGATTTAGGAGGTAATAAATATTAAATTCGCATAAGGTGGACAGGTAGCAAAGCTAGCCTAGTTGGTAGCTGAAGATGTAGCATTGCTGTGTCGTGCTTGAGGTCCTGAGCTCCATTCCCCGTTGCTGCTTCTTGGAACTTGCAATCAGCTTTTTGGAGAATTATGAACCACGATTTAATGTGACTTAGCAGTGAGTATTACTTATGGTCGAAGTAGCTTGGTGGAGAAGACTTCATCTTTTATACACAAGGTCAAGGGTTCAAAACTCAACTTGGACATTCACATTTCCTTTTGTTTCATAACAACTATTAAGTTATAGATCGAGAAAAAGTAGAGTTGATTTCTAATCTTCCAAAGACCCCACCTAAACCCAACACCTCACGCCTTCTTTTGCTGACATTTATCTCAGAAAAGTCTTTACTTGATCACAACAGAAGTATTCCTAATCCTGTCTTTTACTCCTTTGTGTTAGTCTCTTTGTCAATTAGGTTTCCGTTTGATACTACATTGTCCCGGGTCCTTTCTTCTTAGATGGGTTATACTAATCGTGAGGAGCTTTATTGTTTAGATTCTGTCTTGCTGGAGAATAACGTCATGATTTAACAAACCCAGTTGCTCTTAGGGTTTGTTTGCTGCCTTGTTTCTCAAGAAAAATTTAAAAGGTTCCTTGAGAACCCATTTCAATGTTGCAATTTGCGAGATACACATTCCACCATTTTCATCAAAAATACTGTTTCAGTGTTAGTTTGGGTTCTTCTCAAACACCCGCTTCTTTCGGAACTTTCCACATACACTTGGTGTGCGCTTTTGGTTTGGCTCTGTTGGGCACCTGAATTTGTGCTGAGAGATGGGTTGTATTCATGGCAAGTGTTGTAGCAGATACCCTTCGTCTTCAGATGAGGAGAGCAGGGAAGAATTGGGTCCTTACGCTCAAACACATATTCTTACTAACAGGTCTTTAGATGTTGCTTATGTGCCTTGTGAAAATTTCAAATTAGAGTACTCTGTGCTTACACAGCGCGGTTTCTACCCTGACTTTCCGGAAAAGGAGAATCAAGATAGTTATTGTATCAGAAGAGAGCTTCAGGGTAATCCAAATATTCATTTCTTTGGTGTGTTTGATGGGCACGGGCAGTTTGGTACAGAGTGTTCAGGTTTTGTTAAGGATAGGCTTGTAGAGATATTGTCAAATGATCGTCAGTTGGTGGAAGATCCTGTAAGGGCTTACAACGCTGCATTTTCAACAGCTAACGAAGAACTTCACTTGAGTAATATAGATGATTCCATGAGTGGGACAACAGCAATTACAGCTCTTGTTATTGGTGACATGTTGTACATTGCAAATGTGGGTGATTCGAGGGCGGTGCTAGCTGTTAAGGAAGGGAATGCTGTTATTGCTAAAGATTTGTCTTCTGACCAAACCCCTTTCAGGACAGATGAATGTGAAAGGGTGAAGCTTAGTGGGGCTACTGTTCTGACTGTTGATCAAGTGGAGGGCAATAAGGATCCAAGTATTCAGGCATGGGGTGATGAGGAGACCGGAGGTGATGATCCGCCTAGGCTGTGGGTTCCAAATGAGAAGTATCCTGGGACCGCATTTACACGGAGTGTAGGGGATAGTGTAGCTGAGAATATTGGTGTAGTTGCTGATCCAGAGGTATTAACACTACAGTTAACCGCTAATTACCCCTTCTTTGTACTTGCAAGTGATGGGGTCTTTGAGTTCATCTCCAGCCAAACTGTGGTGGACATGGTATGCCGTTTGCTTCACAATTAAAAATTTATGTGTTTTGAAAATTTTGACTCATAATCTGACACAATGCATTTCCCTGCTTACTTTTTAACTCGTAATTCTCTCTATTTAAACAATATGTGGATATTCATGCCCTAAATATCATGCAAATTTATAGTGATAAGTCCTATCAAAAACAGTTTTTAATTGCAATACTGTGTCGAAGGTCACAACATGTTTGTAATGTAGGCATTAACTAAAGGAGAATATGAACTGTTTTATTATGAATATATTCTTAGAAAGTAATGGGGTTCTATAGTTTGGACATTTTAAATGCCATTTTGGAACCCTTTTTGTTTTTTTTTTTCTTCAATCCACTCTCTACTGCACATGATAATGTCCTACTTTATTTAGTTTAAACTTACAAAGGATCATCCAATTCAGTATGTCAAATTACTGCATTCAGTAATCAATAATTTCGAAAATATTGCTTGCCTTATAATTTATATTACTTGTAGAACCAAAATAATGTGTGTAGGTCATCATTTGGGATGAGACAACCTTGTGTTATTCCCTTCTTTTTCAAAATCTCTCAACTATTTGGTATTATTCTTGCCAGCATACTCTTGAATTAACATTATTTATACTTCAATTCCTTCGTTGTGTAGGTGAGTAAATATGAGGATCCTCGAGATGCATGCTCAGCCATTGCTGGAGAAGCATACAAACTTTGGCTAGAGCATGACAACCGAACTGATGATATAACAATCATTATTGTACACATAAAAAACTTGTCAGTGCATGAACTATCAGATTCGTAGTGCAACTACTCTATTCTTCTTCTGCCACTGAATTCTATGATTCTATTTGTATTAATATCTGGAAGTAGTGATGATTGTGTTGGTTGCTATTTCAATTCGAATGGACTTTCACTTGGATATCGGTGTATTAATTTGTGTATTGATGGTAGGATACACACACACACACACACATAAACATACTAATGTGATTGGTGGCTTCATCTTCAAGTTCTAAAAAAAAATCATATTTAGCTTCAATTTTTAAATTTTGATAGTCAGGTGCAAGCAAGCAATACTGATATGAGTGGAGAAAAAGAACTAAATATGGACAAAGGAACGATTGGAATTTATTCCACTCCTGGATCATAAGCCTTTCGGTTGGTGAATGGTGAGAAGGTGATGATGACTCTGAACTGCACTCTTGTCATCCTATTTAATTACTGGTTCAAAGCTCTATGGTTCCATCTGAAACCTGCAGTTGAGCATCTTAGTTGTTTCTTTACCCCCATTTCCTCCTTTTTCTGCTCTATTCTGCTAGGTTATTGCTTTGATTCTAGGATAAAATATGGCTCGTCCTGTTTTCATTGCTGAGAAGGAACAATGAAGAGACATAGCAAAGGGCAATGATTTTGGATTAAAGATTCAGGCTCCCACAGGTTCCCAGTTTTTTTTTTTTTTTTTTTTTTTTTTTTTTTTTTTTTTTTAATGATTTTGTGGATTATTGATTTTTTGAGCAATACTGACTTGTTTGATATGCATGATTCTGTCGTTGCCTCAGGTTCTAACAGTCATTATACCATGTACAAGTGGACCACTGACATAGGATACATTTTTATTATATTAAAGATACATTTTAATACACTAAATGTTTATTTTTAAAGATAAATTATGTGAATACTGAAGGTTTGCCAACGTCTATGTGGAGGGCTCCTCACTACAGTTACTGGGTTGGGACAAAAGTATAGTTGATAATTTCAATAATAATTATGGTATAATTAATAATTTGTTAAAAGTAAAAAGTTTGGATATGGTTACTGATTAAATATATTTATGGTAACATTGTATACATATATACATATATATATATATATATATATATATATATATATATATATATATATATATATATATGTGTGTGTGTGTGTGTGTGTGTGTGTTACAAGTTTTAGTATTAGTATAAAAAACAGATGAATATTAATAAGAAGTGAGTTAGATTAGTTGGCAAAGCATGTGTTTGGTAATAATGAAGATCATGGGTTCAAATTGTGGCATTAACATATTTTCACCATTTTTTTGGCTTTAGTACAATCACATTTTTAATAGTTTTTTTTTTTTAATATTTAACATACACACACATATAACTAGCATTCTTTTATATTAATAATGAGATGTGTAATTTATAATGTGTTTTTTATTCAAATTATTTTATCAAATTAATTATATTTTATATTTTGTTATGAATATTTATATAAAGTTTCGATGAGTTTTATTTTTTGCTCATATCCAACAATATTTATACCTATATTTCTTAGATATATTTTTTTTCAAATTATCTCTTTTGTTTTAACGTTTCGCCTTCACTGGAAAAAATTTCTGGATCCGTCCCTGCTTCTTCGCCCCCCTTCAACGGAATTCTTGGCTCCGTCCCTGTGTGTGTGCGTGTGTGAATAAGTATACTTAGAACTGTATTATTGATGATCAATGTTGTACAAAAGAATACATATATATACAAACTGAGGAACCTATTTGAGAAGAAACATGACTCTTTATAGAAGAGACATGTTTTCCAACACCCCCTCAAGTTGGAGCATACATGTTATATTCGTTGAGTTTGTTACAAATATATTTTATTCTAGGACCTCTAAGTGACTTGATAAGGATATTTGCCAATTGATCACTGGAGTTAACATGGCTTGTAGTAATCCACCCTGACATAATCTTTTTCCTGATGAAGTGGCAGTCAATTTCAATGTGTTTGGTTCGTTTATGAAAGACTGGATTCCTAGTAATATGTAGGGCTGCTTGGTTGTCGCATATCAATGTTATTTTTGTAAGATCACAGTATCGTAGTTCTTGAAGTAAGTGCTTTAGTCATATGAGTTCACATGTAGTAAGAGCCATAGCACGATATTCAGCTTCTGCACTAGATCTGGTTACCACATCTTGCTTCTTGTTTTTCCATGAAATCAAGTTATCCCCAATGAGAATACAATATCCAGACGTAGATCGTCGGTCAAATGGAGAACTTGCCCAATCAGCATCAGAGTATCCAATGATTTGAGTGTGACCTTTATCTTCATAAATTAGCCCTTGGCTTGGTGCCTTCTTAATGTATCTCAAAACTCGAATAGCAACATCCCAATGATCAGCATTATGAGTTTCTAAAAACTAACTTAATACACTTACTGCAAAGGAGATATCTGGGCCTGTGATTGTGAGATAGTTCAATTTCCCGATAAGCCTCCTGTAACTTTCAGGTTCGGATAGTATCTTACCTTAGTTGGGAAGGAGTTTGACATTTGGATCCATCGAACTATCGATGGGTTTACAATAAAGCATCCCAATTTCTTCAAAAATATCCAAAGCATACATCTTTTGTGAAATAACCACACCATTATAGGATTGGGCTACCTCAATTCCAAGAAAATATTTTAACTTTTCCAAATCCTTAGTCTGAAAACTTTTAAAGAGATATGCTTTCAACTTGGATATGCCCTCCTCATCGTTGCCAGTAATCACAATGTCATCCATATATACTATAAGGTAGATACACTTTTCCTCCATTGAGTTTTGATAAAACACAGAATAGGTAACTTTACTTTGAATCATTCAAAATTCACTAATAACTGTGCTAAAACGACTAAACCATGCTCTCGGGGACTGTTTCAATCCATACAAAAATCGTCGAAGTTTACAAACCAAGCCAGACTCCCCTGAGCAACAAATCTAGGTGATTGCTCCATATAGACTTCTTCGTTGAGATCTCCATGTAAAAAGGCATTCTTAATGTCTAGTTGATATAAAGGCTAATGACTGATAGCTGCCATAGAAAGAAGCAATCGAACCGAGGCAATTTTAGCAACAGGGGAAAAAGTATCTGTATAGTCTAACCCATAGACTTGAATGTATCCCTTAGCCACAAGTCGAGCTTTAAGATGATCAACTTTACCATCTGGACCTACTTTCACCATGTAAATCCATTTGCAACCAATAACAAATTTACCATGAGGTAAAGGAACTAATTCCCAAGTGCCACTGTCTTGTAAAGCCTCCGTCTCAGTTAACATTGTTTGCCGCCAGCCAGGATCAGAAAGGGCTTGATGGGTTGTTTTGGGAATAGTGCCAGATGATAAATGTGAAACAATGGCATAATAAGGAGAGGATAGACGATCATAACTTAAGAAGGTATATATGGGGTGGGAGTTGCGAGTAGAACGTATACCTTTTCGCACAGCAATAGGTGCAATAGATGGGTAATCCTCATATTGAGGTGGACCTAACATAGGAGAAGATGATGTGGCGGTGGAGTCGTCAGGAGTCTCTGGAGAAGCAGTATGAATAATAGGCACATTGGACCTAGGACGACGGCAGCAAACTTGTAAAGGAGGAGGAGACTCAAAGATATTTTCACAACTAGACTGTATGTTTATAGGACCAAAATCTGGAATGGGGAGGAGTTAGTAATAGTTGTGTTATCTAGTGATGTAGGTGGGAAGTATGAGGAAGACTCTAGGTGGGAAGTATGAGGAGTTAGTAATAGTTGTGTTATCTAGTGATGAACCATCATTGCATGAATGTAATGTTTGGATGTGGTTTTTTTATGAATAAGAGGATAGAGTCATTTGCGTGGTTGTTTAAAGCGTTTTTAAGATCCATGGATGGCAAGTGTCCACAGACTATCATGACGGATCAATGTTCAGCTATGGCTGCTGGCATTTCCATGGTGTTTCCTACATCACGCCACCGTCTTTGCATATGGCATATTGGTGAGAATTCGAAGAAGCATATCAAGGCATTAAGGAATCATAAGGATTTTCTGGATATGTTCAATTGTGTGTTGAAATACACCGAGACTGAAGCGGAGTTTGAAGTTTACTGGACAAGGTATGTTATTATGAATTTACATTATATAATTCTGAATTTTCTGTTATGTCATTATGTATTTTCTGTTATGTCATTATGTATTTTCTGTTATATGATTTATGAATTTTCTAATATGAGATTATGAATTCACAGCTATACAATTATGTATTTTCTGTTATGTCATTATGTATTTTCTGTTATATGATTATGAACTTTCTAATATGAGATTATGAATTTTCAGAATATGATTAGTAAACATGTGTTTTAACTTTTTCAGGATGGTTACAAAATATAATTGTCATAAGAATACATGGCTAGAGAAGCTTTATGACTGTAGGGAGAAGTGGCGTCCAGCGTTCAACAAGGATTATTTCTCCAGGGGTATTTTATCTTCGCAAAGGAGTGAAAGCACAAATCATTCAATTTCTAGGAGGTTGTCCAAGACTGCTGGTTTATGTGATTTTTATTCATCCTTTGTGAGTGTTATTTATGAATGGAGAAGTAAGGAAAATGGTGAGGATTTCTGGTGTTCTCAAGGAGTACCCGCCATGATGATGGATCATGTGAAACTCCTTTCACATGCTAGAGAGGTTTATACAATAGAGATATATTTTCTGTTCGAGGAACAATTTATGAAAGGTAGCTCTTGTTATCAAGAAATGGTGTTGAACGATGGTTGTAAGTGCAAGTATCACGTGTGGCGACCAGACATAGATATCATAAGGCATGAAGTAATTTTTAAGCCAATCAATTTGGATATATGCTGTAGTTGCAAGCTGTTTTTAGAATTGGGAATACTTTGCTGCCACTGCTTACGTATACTTCATGTGCACTGTGTTTCCAGTATTCCCGATAAATACATTCTAAAAAGATGGACTAAAAAGGTTGTTGAGGGTAGAAATGTGGACATTGCATCCGTGTTTTATAATGGTGGTGTCCCTTCTTCAATTTGGGCTGTTGAGATTAGTAGGAAATTTCAAAGGCTTATTATTTGTAGCCAAGATAACAGTGTTGCTAGACAATTCTGTGATGAAGCTGTTGAGAATGCAAGGAAAAACATTGAACCTGAGATTGGGGATGTGAATATTGAGGAGGGTGTTGTGTCTTCGTCAAGTGGTATTGTCCAAGACCCTTCAAGCCGGAGGAGTAAAGGTGTGAGAAATAAAAGGAGTAGTAGTGTTATTGAGAAGAAGTACAATGCAGCAAGGGGGAGAAAGAGTGCTGCAAACAAGCTTGCTTCAATTACAAAGGGCTCTGTCCAATCATTGGTCTTGGAAAATATTTCAGAGATTGGTCGTGATGGATATCTTGTACATCCAAGCACTGGGGGTTCACAGTTTGTTCATTTTAATAAGAATGTAGACCACGATGTAGCTATAGATTGAGATTGTGTTAATAGAACTTCATATGTTTAGCAGTGTTGTGATGAATACTATGCAAAATACTATGTGTCAGTTTATGAATTTTCATTTATGTGATTATGCATTTTCCTTTGTGTCATTATGGATTTTCCTTTATGTCATTATGAACTTACAGTATGTACTTACGAATCTTATAATATTAGACTGTGAATTATGTGTCAGATTATGAATTTTCCTTTATCAGTTTATGAATTTTCTTTTATGTGATTATGATTTTTCCTATATGTGATTATGAATTAACAGTATGTACTTATGAATTTTATGCTATTTAGATTTTATGAGAATTATGTGTCAGATTATGAATTTTCCTTTACCAGTTTATGAACTTTCCTTTATGTGATTATGAATTTTCCTCTATGTGATTATGAATTTACAGTATGTACTTATGAATTTTATGCTATTTAGAGTTTACGAGAATTATGTCTCAGATTATGAATCTTCCTTTATGTGATTATGAATTTTCCTTTATGTGATTATGAATTTTCCTATATGTGATTATGAATTTACAGTATGTGCTTATGAATTTTATGCTATTTAGATTTTATGAGAATTATGTGTCAGATTATGAATGTTCCTTTATTTAATTATGAATGTTACTTTATGTGATTATGAATTTTCCTTGTTGTCATTATGAATGTTATTTTAATGTTATGTAATAATGAATTTTCAGTTATAGCTAACACGTATACATTCATAATCTCATAATAGAAAGTTCATAATCGCATAATAGAAAACTAGTATTTGTACCCGTGCGATGCACGGCAATGTTATTATGATGTAATATATAAAAGTTTGTTATATTGAAGATATAGGACCGATAAGGTTGAAGATGTAATAAATGAAAAAATATAATTTATTGGCGTTCCATAAACAAAACAATTACACATTATTAAAGATTTTTTTTTAAACTACATTTTGAGTATTGTTTAAAAGACCTCTAGATTTCCCACAAATTAAGATTTTAAGACCGTCAGGATTACTCACCCTAGAAACTGCTACATACAATTGGCCATGGTTAAGAACTGGATTTTTTCAGTAACAAACCAACATGTAAAAGCGTTTGACCTTGAATTTTGTTGATTATCATTACATATGATAGCATAAGTGGAAACTGCGTTCTCTGAAATTTAAATAATGCTAGTCTTGGGTCTGAAGGAGTCAATGTCAGCCTTGGTATCGTTGTACTTGATAATTTAATACGATTAAGGTTTTTAGAGTATTCGTACTATTACTGAATGTGCTACTTTGCGTAGAAAGATTGTGAAAAATCGAGATATTAAACTAAATTTCTACCTAAAAATTGTTGATATCTACCTAAATTTCTTAAATTGTACTTTATCTTCAAAATTAGAACTATTTTTTAATTTTGTAGAATATTTAATTGCTATAATTTTATAACTTGTTAAAATATAAAATTAGATATATTATAAACTAAAATTCCGTAACTATACATTATGTACAAAGAATATGCAGTTAACTGTAATGTAATTTTCTCTTGCAACTAATAGTTGTTAAATCATTTAGCTTCCTCATATCTCCTTCAAACTTCATACAATAGTAATGATAGAATACTTGCCTTTTTTTTTTTGTTTTTAAAATAAAACTACAAATAATAGTAATGTTTAAATAATTGAACTGAATACTAAAATGACCAATACTAAACTCCTTGACTAAATATCCATGATCTCCCTTAGTATCCACAACCCAACTCCCTCAATGCGGAATCCTTGTCAAATGCTATAACAGAGTCCTTAGAAATGCAGTGCATTAGAAGTTCATTTGATCGGCATTTGGAGAGTCCTCTTCACAGTCCTCCATTAGAAATGTTGACTCTTTATTTCCCTATTTAGAGTTGAGGGTGAATACAACGTTATGGTCATTGATCTTCTTGGTCCAAGTTTGGAAGATCTCTTAAACTACTGCAATAGGAATTGTCTCTAAAAGCTGTAAAAGTGCTTGCAGATCAATTAGTAAGTAGTTATTAGTTGAACTCATGTAATGCATTCTTATTTTACCAGCATGCTATGCTTCATCTATTATCCATTTGTGATTATCCTATTAATTCTTTTTTTTTTTCTTTTTCCAGATTAATAGAGTTGAGTACATGCATGCCAGAGAACTTCTACACTGTGATATAATTTCTTGATGGGTCTAAGTCGCAAAGCAAATCAGGTAATATCTTTAATTTTTTTTTATATCTAGTTTAGCTTTAAAATGGCTGTTCCATCGACGCTAAACATAAATATTACTCTGCAAACGTCATAAATAATATCTTGGTTAGAAAGAGTGACCACTGATGTTTAGTAGGAGATAGGAGAGGAAGTGATAGATCAAAACGTACTTGGCATCATAAACAAATAGTTAAAACATTTACCAGGAACTATGACAAACAAAAAAACAATATATTGCTATTTTCTGATTAAACAATACACTGATTAAAATTACCTCTTTTAAAGGAAGCAAACTCCTTAGAGCAATGGTGGTTCCAAAACTCTGTGGCTTCATAAAATAAACATTGTTTACTGCTGAATCTCTTTGCATTTTCACTTTCAGATAGTATAGAAGCTAACCGAGCTCTGAACTCTGGGTTCAATGTGCTGAGGGTCAATGACAAAGTCTAGACAGAGAAGAACAAACACACAGAGAATTAATGGCAAAGTGTGGCTTGTTTGTGTATAGAAGAATTTATAGAAGAGGTTTGAAGGTTGTAGAGTTCCAAAAATAATCAGCTTCAAAGGAAAAGAAATAATGGCAGCAACATTGGATACTGAAACGGCACAAATTAAAGGCTGCGTAGAGTTTATATCTTCTAGATTTTGAATTGATTTGAATTTACTGTATTTATTTAATTATTATTCATTTAATTTATTTAATCTCAGCATTCATTCTCAGATGTATTCGAAATGTATATGTAAATACTGAACGTGTACCAGAAGAATTGTTTGGAACAACTTCCAACATTTTGGGGAATCTAAAACGGTGGATAAGTATGACTTTAGTATTCAATTGTAATAATACAAATACACTTATTGTGAATAGAGAATTAAAAAATAATAAAATAAATAATAAAATTATGGAACCACAAAAGTAGATATGCAAAACGGTGTAGTTTTTACTGAGCGGAAAATTGGAGCCATGTGATTGGCTGAATTCTTATGGCTTTATTATATAGTAGGATTCATAATATGGTACTTGAAAATTCATAAATCTACATGATCCATATGTAATCTGAATTAAGAGTAATAGATTGTATATTCACAGGTGCAAAATATCTGTGCACATTACAAAATGAGAGATTCTCAATCTAGGGTACCAACAGTCAAGATTTCAAAATGAAGTATTGACAAAATTAATGCTTCATGTTCACAACATATTCAAACACCAAAAAAGCGGTATAGTTTCATTTCTTCTTTGAGAGATCCTTTGCTGCCTTCATAACTCGCAATCTTTCAGTGTTCCTACCCCATGTGATAATGTTTGACGCGTAGCTCTAAGTTCCCAAAGGAAGTCAGCCTTCAAAAAAAAATGTTAAAAAACAAAAAAAAAAAAAAAAAAAAAAAAAAAAAAAAAAAAAAAAGCAAATCTTAGTTGAAATTAATATATCTTATACTCTTACATTTACACGGGTGCCTATCTTGAATCCACTGTCCCAATCTTGAACATTCCCCTTGTACGACTCCATGTGTCGCATGACATATATGCCACAGTCAATGACATTGTCAAGCTCCTTCCAAGGAATGGCCAAGTATGATACAGGAAGCTTTTGTATCTTACGGAGTAGGGGTGATTTTTCTGCAGTCAAGTACTCTTTCAAAGCAGTCATCTGGACAAAAATGAAACTAGTGTGATAATGATTCGTTGGAAATGTATAACAAATGTTTGGAAGGTCAAGTTTAAGGTTAAGTTACCAGTAGACTAGGGCAATCTTCATACTTGTCAGCTTCAGTAACATCCTTAGGCAGCATCTTGTTGTCTATGATTTCAACACTTTTTGAGATGGTGTTGATGCAGACAATAAAGTAGTGTTCGTGTCGAAGCACGTGGAAAAATATCTAACATCAAAAGAAGAAGTAGTTAGAATAGAGAAGAAATATGTCATTAATGAATAAATGTTGAACGTGGGTAATTATAAATTACCAAATCAGCATCATTGACGTCAAGATTTCCAAATTTGGAAATTTCATACTGTAACCGCTCATTGAAATTCTCCTTCCGCTTTTGAAGCGGAAGATTCTTCATCCACTGTTCAGTTGGGTCAAGTTGAAGCTAAGGGGAAAAAAATACGTATCAATGATAAGTTGTGCAATATGTAATGGCAGTCATACATAATTCATAATATCATAACATAAAATCCATAATATTACAAAGAAAATACATAACTACAGAACAGAAAATTCATAATATCAAAATTGTAATTTCATAACTCACAATAGAAAATTCATAATGCCATATGGGAAAATTCATAATCACACACAGAATATACATAATCTCACATCAGAAAGTTCATAATATCAAAAATGTAACTTCATAAACTCACAATAGAAAATCCATAATCTCATCTGAGAAAATTCATAATCACACACAGAAAATACATATTTACATGACATAAAATACATAATGGTTAACAGAAAATTCATAAGTGAGCAGAGTAAAAATTGTTGGTATTAACTTACATGTACCAACGTGCTAAAATAGATGCACTTTGGCTTCCCCAATGCCCGTTTTGTGTTGAGGAGTGTAAGCCTCAACGCCCATACATCGATGAATGTGCTAAAAGTTTCACCGCTGCGTAGGGTGTGGAAATCTCCTCTTGTCATTGAGAAATCATCAAAGCTAAACCGAGTTTCACTACATCAACAAAAAAGTTTGATAAATAGGTAAATGAATTAATACATGGTTATAAATGTGAAATATTCATGAAAATAAAAAGTTTTTTAAATGGTTAGATTCAAACATACTCTATTGGATGATTTGTAGAAGCATCGATGAAGGCGTAGTTTGATACGGCCCTCTCGGTGACACTAGCATTATGGTTAGACGGTACATTCTTTGTCCAGAAAGGTGACCTCAAATTTAGCGGGATGTTTTTGTATTTTCGGATTGGTCTCTTTCGTATGGTGACATCCTCGACATCAGATTCACTGTCCAGAAATGCTCTGTAAACACATGAAGCTAGTTAATATCATCATAATTGCACAATCTCAGTTTAGAAAATTCATAACTGCAGTACAGAAAATTCATAAATACAGAACAGAAAATACATAATTGCATATCAGAAAGTTCATAATATCAAAACTGTAATTTCATACTCATAATAGAAAACTCATAATCTCATATGTGAAAATTCATAATCATTCAGAAGAAAAGTCATAATATAATATCAGAAAGTTCATAACATAATTTCATATTCTAATTAGTTTACCTATCAATATCATCGAGGGTAGCAGGAAGTGTAGCAGCAAGCGTAGAAGTATCAGCAGCACCAGGGACATCTCTAGCGAATGGAACCTCAATCAATGGAATTATTTCTCGTCTTTCAGAACTTGATGCAGCAGGGGTAGCAGCATGGGTTTCAGAAGATGAAGCAGCAGGGGTAGCAGCAGTGCTAGGAACATGTGTAGCAGCAGGGAAAGCAGCAGGGGAAGAAACAGGCGTAGCAGCAGGGGTTGCAGCAGGGGTAGCGGTAGGAGTAGCAGCGAGTGTAGCAGCATCAGCAGCACCAGGAGTGTCTTTCACAATGTTCTGAACAAGGGCATCCAATTGATCTTCATCCAATGCGCCCTGCTCCTGTGGTTCGTCAACCAATGGCGCCGGGGTATAAGAAATCCCTAAATCAAACGAGGGAGGGTCTAACTCCATTTGCCAAGTGGTCTTTTGGAAGGCTTCAACCAAGGCATCAACAACCTTTGTGAAAGACTCTTGGCCAAAGAAGATGTCGTCAAGTTGAGAGGAGGTTGGAGTTGGTGGTCTTTCTATCGTGCTTGCTACGCCAATCATGGTAGAAATCCCAGAAAATGCAGCCTTCATAACATCCACAGGGGCGTTTTGTTTTCCAACTTCAGCCATAGCCTCGCCGAATTCCAAGACATCAGTAGCAAGGCGTTGTAGAACTTGCGTGACCCTGTCAACACTGGATGGCGGCACAGAGATGGTTGGGACTGGTTGGGCTGAAGTAGAAGCAATACAGTCAGCAGTAGGCTTTGCAATACGAGGGATAACTTTCCCTTTACCATATCCGTCCGACCTTTTCTCAGCAGAAACCCTTTGTCGTGCAAGTTTTTTTGTCCATGCAGTAATGCTTGGATATGTTCTTTGAACCCTCATTCCTTTGTACTGGACCCGATCAAAGTAGAATAGCTACAATGTTCAAGAAAAAGGTAAAATAAAAAAGTTATAATCATAATTCCATAACTATAAATTCATAATATCCTAACACAAAATTCATAATTACATTACAGAAAATTCATAATACCATAATAGAAAATCCATAATCCATATGAACACTATATTCAACTATCATATTATGGATTTTATGTTATGCAATTATGAACTTTCAATTATGAGATTCATTATTGCATAACATTAAAATAACATTCATAATGACAACAAGGAAAATTCATAATTACATAAAGGAACATTCATAATCAAATAAAGGAAAATTCATAATATGACACATATAATTCTCATAAAATCTAAATAGCATAAAATTCATAAGTACATACTGTAAATTCATAATCACATAGAGGAAAATTCATAAGCACATAAAGGAAAATTCATATGCTGATAAAGGAAAATTCATAATCTGACACATATAATTCTCATAAAATCCAAACAGCATAAAATTCATAAGTACATACTTTAAATTCATAATCACATAGAGGAAGATGCATAATGATATAAAGGAAAATTCATAATCATATAGAGGAAAATTCTTAGAGGAAAATTCATAATCACATAGAGGAAAATTCATAATCTGACACATATAATTCACAATCTGAATATCATAAGATTCATAAGTGGAACTAGAACTTACCAATATGAATGTCATTGGTCCAGTAAAGAAGCTACTACTTTTCTTCTTGTACTGCTCGATGGATTTGATCAGAGAGTTGTAGGTGTAGCTACACCAGTTGTACTCCTTTATCTCATCAACATTAATCAAGGAGTTGAGGATTCTGTTGTTGCAGTAGCGTGTCTGAAATCCCCGCATCATGCACGAAACAGTTAAGACCATGAAGTCTCTCTTAAATTCATCTCCATAATCTCCCCTTTGAACTATGACATCTCCCATCTTGGTAGTGATTGGGGAACCAAGGTTAATATTCCACCTTTGCCTCCAACTTTGCAAGAGACCCCTGTACTCCGGTGTCCCCTGTTCATCATATTTTGGGGCCTCAACAACCTTCTTTTCTCCTCTTGGAATGCCAAGAGTGTACTCAATGTCCTCTTCTTCAACAGTGAACTTGTCGTTCTCCAGTTTGAAATGTGTTTGGAAAAGCTCAAAGTTGTTTAGCAAATACTGGACTAATTGTGACTCATTTGCACACAATTGAAGGTCCAACGGGCTCCGAAACCAATATCACGGACAGATTGTTTTTGTTCTGGCGTTAGCTATTGTACAAGCCTGAACATGGTCTTTGGTCCCATCCGTGTGCTGAAGTAGGAAGTAGAACTCCCTTCTGCACGATCACCTCCATCTGCTTCAGTATTTTGCACAATGGCTGTTTTGCCCCTATGTCTATCATTTATCTGTTTTGATCTCTTTTCTCTAATCACTTCTTGCTCGAGCCGGTCATCAGACTGCTGCTGGGATGGTTGAGCAGCTTGTGAGTCAAGTACAGCCCTTGTTGTTCGTTTTCTCTTGTTTTTTGTCGTAGTTTTGACTGCAGTGTTTTGTTCAGCTGTTGTCTGTGAGGGTTGTGATGGTTGTGCAGCTTGAGAGATCAAGACTGCCTTTGTTTATGAGCGTGTTCTCTTTCGTTGAGCAGTGTCCATTGCTTTTATTAAAAATGTTAGAAAGCAAGTAAGTCATATACAACATATAATATAGATTGATGGAAAATATATTCCTTATTTCAGTAGAGGGGGGATGGGGAGTGCCGAATAAATCCAGCCATGCTCTACCGAAAAGAATATATTGTCCATCAATAACAGTCACACATAATTCATAATATAGTAACATAAAATTCATAATATCACAAGGAAAATTCATAACCTCAGAACAGAAAATTCAAACCCCATAACAGAAAATTCATAACCCCAGAACAGAAAATTCATAACTACAGAACAGAAAATTCACAACTCACAATGCAGAATTCATAATCTCCTATGAGAAAATTCATAATCTCTCACAGAAAATACATAACCACATATCAGAAAGTTCATAACATCAATAACAGTCACATATCAGATATACATTCATAAGCTCATAACATTACATTCAAAACCCCATTTTAAAATTTCAAAATATGTACACAGAATACAAAAACCCTAAATCATAAACACATCATGTACAAAATACCTGTAAGACAAGTGAAGCAACGTTGAGAATGAGCGATGGAGAGGCTTTCTCCTTTGATAGCTACGGGAGAACGCGAAGTTTTGTTCGAGAAATGCGAGAACGAGAAATGCGAGAGCAGAGAGGAATGGCTGTGGAGCAGAGAGTTTGAGAGTGATCGAAGGAAATGGCTGTGGAAGACGAAGTGAGAGAAGAGAGCTCGAGAGTGGAGTTCAGAGAGTAGAGGGATGGAGGTTGCGTGGAGAGGAAGTGAAATGGTGTAGTGGAAACTGGAAACGCTATTGGCGCGTTTAATTTTAAAAAAAAAAATAAATAAATAATGTCAGTGGTGGGAGTTAACGGTGCCACTTACGGGCACCGTTAGTCCCACTCACACTAAACGGTGTCGTATGGAACCGTGTTCACCAACCATGATGAACACGGTTCCATGGCATAACAACTGGTAAGTCAGTGGTTGGGCAGACGTTATGCCATGGAACCGTATTCACCATTCATGGTGAACACGGTTCCAACGGTGTTAGTACACCGTTATCTTTTTTTTTTTTTTTTTTTTTTTTTTTAATTATGTGACTGCCTACACATTCACTTTGGAACCATGGGATTATGAATTTTCTGTTATAAGATTATGAATTTTCTGTTATGAGATTATGAATTTTCAGTTATGAGATTATGAATTTTCTGTTATGCGATTATGAATTTTCTGTTATGAGATTATGAATTTTCATTACATTCATAATTTCGGACATTCATAAATTATGAATTCATGCATGCACATTCACTTTGGAACCATGCCTACATATTCCCGTCTGAAATCACGGACATTCATAAATTATGAATCTATGCCTGCACATTCACTTTGGAACCATGCCTACACATTCACTTTGGAACCATGAGATTATGAATTTTCTGTTATAAGATTATGAATTTTCTGTTATGAGATTATGAATTTTCAGTTGTGAGATTATGAATTTTCTGTTATGCGATTATGAATTTTCTGTTATGAGATTATGAATTTTATGAAAATTCATAATCTCATAACAGAAAATTCATAATTTGATCAGTAACGCACCGTTAACTCCACATCCGCGAATTTTTTTTTTTTTCCTAAAAACGACGTCGTTTTGACTTGTGTTCACCATTCTCGGTGAACACGATTCCACGGCATAATTTGCGGTGGTTGGGCCTCTAGGCCTTTACCCATAATAAGTTTGGGCTTTGAGTTGGGTAAATGATGTG